AAATCCCTAATATCGCAATCACTCTTCTTTCTCTCTGTCGAACACCCATAAACCTTCGATCAATAGTGGCCACTCTTCCTTTCTCCCACACCAGCATCGCAGCACCACCAAACCTCCAATCTCGCACCACCAAGTATCTCTGACCATATTCTAGTGCTCAAAAAAACATTCTCTATATTATACTGAAAATGTTTTTCCCCTCTCATTATATCTGTTCACTTTCACCTTCACAGTATAACATTGTTAATCGATAACCCTACCCTTTTAGTGTGATATATATGGCACAAATCAACATCTCCACTACAACTTCACTGAAGGTGCAATTTTGAACCTGATTTGGTCATCGATCCCCATTTCAACATCAAGGAAATTTTAGGGAAAGGTGGTAATCATACATGTTTTAGCCATAAGCGACCAGTACTGTGTGGTTTAATGAAAACCTTAATTATTTTTGTTCAGTTTTGGATTCAAATTTGACATGCTTTTACTATTATCATGTGAATAGCAAATCCAAGGTTCTAAAGATTATTGGAAGGCTTTGGTGTTGGTGATACTAAACATCAGACCAGTTGGGTGTTTCCTTTTTACTTTCTTTCCCGATTAAGTCCTAACTTTTTACTAATTTTCCCTATTGGCTTATATGTTAACAGTGGCTCACTCTATGAAACACCAGGTTCATATGGAGCTACACATTTTCTTGAACGTATGGCCTTCAAAAGCACACTTAATAGGGGCCACTTGTGTGTTGTGTGTGAAGTGGAGGCAATTGATGGCAATGTGGCAATTTCTGCTTCAAGGGAAAAATGCGTTACTCTTATGATGCTTTGAGGAGTTATGTTCCTAAAATGGTGAAGCTACTTGTTGACTCTGTAAGAAATCAAGCTTTCTTGGATTAGGAGGTCAAAGAACAGGTGCTTGTTTACTTGTTTCCTTTTCACTTTATTTCTTGTCATTTATCTTTTTGAAAGTTCTCTTTTACGTATTTTATGATTAAAAACATTACTTTTATTTATTTGTTTATACAGATTGAGAAGGTGAAGGATGAGATTGGTGAATAGGCCAACAATCCTCTTCTTGCTTCAGAAGGCTTATTCAACAGAATAAACAGTATAGTTGTGGAGGATTTTGTAGCTGTAAGTCTCACACCTTATATTTTCTGGTTACATGCAAGAAAATAAGAAATAGCATTGTATTTTCATGGATTTGTTTACCATAGCATCCTACTTTCACTATACTTTGAAAAATATACCCTGTTATAGCAATGTCAATTAAATACAAATCAATTTGCATCTTTAGATTTTTCAAAGTAGAATGTCCCAATAAGAAAAAAGTTGAAAGAAGAATGTCATCATTGATCATTAGTTAGATTTTTCAAAGCACAATGGTGTTCTATAAACTAGAAACTAGAAATGAAATTAATACATGATGCTATAATACATAAATAAATGAAATTAAGTTGTTATTTTATGCATAAAACAACTAGAGTATCTGGTATTAGTATTACAATTATCCTTTTTATTGATTCCATGTGGATTTTGTTCCTGAAAGAAAATGTTGTTTGGAAATTATTAGGCAAAATATACAGCTCCTCGAATGGTACTTGCTGTATCAGGAGTTGAACACGAGGAACTGTGGAAATACGCAGAACCTCTTCTCTCTGATTTTCCAGGTGGCACTCAGGTTGAGGAGCCGAAATCAATGTATGTTGGTGTTGATCACTGTGTTATGGTTGACATAGGGGTAGGTGTGTCTTTTAAGTTCAATTATGTATCCTTTTTTATTGACTAAATTACCCTTTTTCTTCCTAAGGTATTGACTAAATCACCCTTTATCAATTGTCATACAGAGAAATAGTTTTGCTCATGCATTTGAACTTCCTGGTGGTTGGCTTATGTAGACTTTCCCGATAACATATTTGATGCACCAAACAGTTTTGACACCAAACTCTATTGTTGCCATATCAGCATCTGATGTCATGCTTTCTTTTGCTGCTTTTCCTATAGAAATCCCAGGAGAGGTATGATTATGAAACAGAGAAATTAACTTTTAACTTTAGACTGTTAATCTTAATTCTTAAATCTTAATCTCTTAATTAAGCTTATTGACTACTTTTTCAGGTGGTCTTTCTTCACCCTGTTCATAATTATGCTATTATTGCATACGACCCTTCTGCCCATGGAACCACTGGTGCTTTAGTTGTACGAGTTGCTGTACTTCTTCCTGGTAGGCAAATTTGCATATGATCTATAGGTTCCTGTATACATTGTTGAGATCTCACCTCAAAACATGAGAGGTAGGTTAGGATTTGTTAACCTGGTTAGTTATGATTCTTTTTCTTTCATCAGGAAAACTTATCATCTATTATCTTTTATTATTTTGTGAACTAGCTTAAATAATTTAATATAATTTACCTATTTTTAGCTCTCTGTCACCATTGAACCAAATTTTTTAATACTGATGATGGATGCTGCTAATAAAGAAATGGAAGAAGCCATGGAAGCTGCTAAAAATGTGTCAAGAAAGCTTCACTTATTTAAAGATCAGATACATAAGGCCATGTTGTTATCTTATGATCTTCCTATGTTGCTTAAGGAAATGGTTTCTTTTGATGATACATTTATTGTATGAAATAGGTTTTTTGTATGAAACACAAAGTAGATTAGATGAATGAATGTTGGTACGTTTATTGTATGAAATATTTTTTTATAATATAATGTATTTTATGTTGTGTTATGAGACATTAATTGTCATTTAATTTGAAAATTAGTAAATCTATAATATATATATTTTTAAAAAAAATATTTTTTTAAAACATTTAAAATTATAACACACAATGTGCGTCGTAAATGCATGTCATAAGGTTACGACACGCAAAGCATGTCCTCTTTCTTTATGACAGGGCTTCCTTGATACGCATTGCGTGTCATCTGTGCGCGTTGTAAATGCGTGTCGTTAGGTTACGACATGCAAATGTGTGTCGTCTTACTTTATGACAGGTCCATCCTTGACAAGCATTTGCGTATTGTCTGTGCGTTTTATGACACGCAATGCGTGTCATTAAAGGGTATTTTTGTAGTAGTGTAAGTGTGGTGTGATGTTTAAAATAGGATAATTGAATGTATAGTGCTTCGTAATGATTATGTTCCGGTAGACAATAATTAAGTTCAAAGAACCGTTAAATAAACGTGTGTTACTTCGTAATGAAATCAAGTGTATTTGTGACAAAATAATGTTAAAGTGACTGAACAAGTGAAATTGTGTAATAAAGCATAAGATACTAAAAAAGATACCAAGATACCACAAAGTACATTGATAGATTCGATAATGAAAGTACATTTACAATAAAATGAATAATAGAATAACGTGATGACGATCAAATAAAAGGAAGTAAATCAAAGTAAATGCAAGAACACAAAAAATTATAAAAAAATATAATTACAAGTGCTATCTGATAATAGAAATGATGTAAAATCAACAAGGCTTTTTATACATAACAATTATAACCAAGATTCCGACATTCTTAGGATCTTCCTTGATCCACGCTTGACCCAAATTTTATGATGGATGTCAATGTTCATGAGACATTGACGGGTGGATTAGGTGTCTAAGCCAATAACTAAATTGATATATACTTAAACTAATAGCAAAGTCTTTTTGGGTTGCCTTCAAAACTGATAATTAAATAGGATGACTTTTGGAGAGAGAGATTGATTTATTGATTTATTATATGTTTAATAAAAAGAAATAAATGATCTATTAATATATTATGAGAATAATATATTAATTACAAATAATATCATTTAATTAAGAATTAATCAGAAATTAATTAGAATTAATTTTGGGATTAATTAAAAGTGCAAGGACCTAAGCTGTAAATGTTCAATACTAGGACAATAGGGTTCCAAAACCTTCCCCATGAGAGGTGGACTGTTCTAAGGAATATTCAAGGGTTTCTAGAATATCCCTTGAAGATAATTAGGAAACCAGATAACTACCTGATTTGAAATATTATTTTATTTTAATCAAGTAAGGGTTATCTAAGGGTTTCCTATCAGGTATAAATAGGTCTTCACCCTTCATATTTTTGGCCACTTCTTCCTTCAAGGGTATAACCGAAATATACCTCCCATGTCCTCTCTCTTAATGTTTCCTTAGTTGCTAGGGTTTGGGCGTGAACCATCGGAGGCACGTGATTTCAGGTGCTTGCTTCCAAGAGCCTTTAAAGAAGGATTAGATTGATTTGTTTACTATAATAAATCAAAAGGTATGTAACCTTAATTCTTGTAATTTGATTGTTCTAGGAAGTCATTAGGGTTCTAGTTATTTTGTTGTTCATGGCATGTTACATTCAAATTGTTAAAGACATAGATCTTTTAGGTTGCATGTGCCCTTAAATGTTAAGTGAAATTCCGCAAGCACATAGTTACTGTAATCCATAAAACCCATCACTGGTATCAGTGCCTTGGTATGTCTAGCATTGTTTGTACATAGGATGAACTTGAACAAAAAAAATTTCTTTCTTTCAGACTGATCTTACGACGTGAGCTTTAATGCTCACGACATGAGTACAGTAAAATTTAGAATTTTGTTTTCTGTTAGACTGATATCATGACATGAGATTCAATTCTCACTACGTGAGCACAGTAAATTCAGAATTTTCGGATTTTCTTGCATAATTTGATTTATGTGGTTGTTATTTGGTAATTATCCCTTATAATATTTGCTAAATCCGAATTTTTCTTATATTAGATAATTAAATAAAACCCTAAATGTTAGGAGATATTCTTAGAATAGATAATGATTGATTATAAGATTAATTAATATTATCCTTATGGATCTTATTATTAATTTAATTAAATGGTTAATTATAAGATAATTAATAAATCCATAAATGGTTTTAATTCAATTAAATTAAAAAGTTTAATTTATAAAAGATTAAACCTTGTATTTTGAAATGTTTTAAAATACATCCTTACATATATATATATATATATATATATATATATATATATATATATATATATATTAAGATTAGTTACTATATGTATAAGAATAAGTCAGTCAAATCGATACTACGCCTCATTCACGAAACAATGCAATAATCTAATTAATAAGGAAGCGGCCTATAAAATGGTCGTTGAATGGGTGTCCACTCTCACCCACCGCTCTCCTATATGGTCGAGGGTCGTTAAACGAATGAATTTGACAGAACATAATCTAATTAATAAGTATAATGATATAAAGAAACTAAACTATTTAAAAAAAATCTCACTCTTAGTTACTTTAGGAAAAGTGTGAAAAGTATGCTAATCTATGAAAACACACATCATGCTTTATATGTCGTTAGTGGAGCGTGTGTGATTAACCGACACACTAATATGGACTATAAAGAGATATGATGGTCATCTCGAAAATTATCATTGTTGGTGGAGCGTATGTGGTTTACCGGTACATCAATATCAGATGATAAATGACATCGAGGTTGTCAAGCAGGTTTACATGCTTATTCACATATCGTTTGTGATCCTCGACATCCCAGTCACAAAAGTGAGAGCATAATCCGAGATTAAGCATGCCATTGATAAGACTAAATGAATCTCAAAAGATCTACGAGTTTCATATGAATGGAATTGGTAAAAACCTTACCTACCTAAAATACATTCAAATTTGATTACGACATCCTTCTTCAAATTTCGAATAAAAAATGTGGATCCTAGCCTTAATTTAAATTTTGGGTTATTAATTAAGGATTAAAATCAACTAATTTGAATTCTCTTTTTCTCCTATTTTTTAAAAATATCTTATGAATATAGAAATGGTCTTCCTTATTCTTATGAAAATAGTTTTCCTCAATCTTCCAGATATGGTGTTCCAATTTCTAGCCAAGGTGAAATTTTTTTTCCTTCCTTAGGAAATGATGGAACTAGACATCATCTCTCTTCCACCTCCTCCTCATATGACTCAATCCCTTTTTGCATGTAAACATCAAGAAGGGAACATTGTGTGTACGCATGTTTTGAAAAGAATTCGTACATTGACAAGTTGCATAGATTGGATGTCGTTTTCCCAAGGGAGAAAGTCGTTGATTTGTTTTTCTCTTGCTTCCTAAGTCCTGTGGTTAGTTTACTAAAAACTTTCATATGAGGAATCTCAATGTGAACCTAATTGATCTGACCCAAATGAAGATTGTTGCTGATGCAGAAATGCTTAAGAGCATATCTAAAGCAGAGATGCTTATTGGGTCTAATTCCAAGGCTTCCATGGACATTGAAAATAGTGACAATGGTGGTCCAGAAAATATTTCTCTTCCCAATGGAAAGGGGTCATCCAAGATCAAACTGTTTGATCGTCTGGTAAAGAGAAAAGATAGCTCTACGATCGTTCCATGTATTGACCTCAAAGAGCCCATTTATTTCTTCTACAAATTAAAGGGACATTGGAAATGAAGCTGCCTAAAATACCTGAAAGATCTTAGAGATAATAAAGTCAAGTCGCGTGACTCTATTTCAGGTACATCCATTATCTGAATCCATTGTTATATAAGTTCTTATTCATACACTCTTAATACATGATGTGATGATCGCATTTTGATAGTATTAAAGGAGTTAAGTGAAAGATGTAATCTTGAGCAAGGTGAGCTAAATCTGATCATGAGAAATGGACTTTGGTCACATGGTTCGAAGATCAGAATTTGGAGCTACTACTAAGGAGTTGGGATAATTTAGTAGATTGTTATTACTCTTTGAAGACATCTAGAAACATAGTTTTCATTTTATGCATTGTAAGGACGAATTCAAACTTTTCACTTAATTTCAATAAAGTGAAATTTTGGTGTATTTGGTCGCCTAATTTATATTTTCTTGCAATGACATTTATGAAAGTGTTGGCTACATTTATAATATTGGCATTATTATTTGTGGATTTGATTCTTTCAGTTAATTAACATCATCTCATTTAATTTATTTCGACTAATATCACAAAAAGAAATAATTCAAGTAATAAAAACTAGCCTCGCCGACGGAAGAGAAAATTGGGTCGTTACACCATAATAGCTTTCCATTTCTTTAATATACCGAAAACATCAGAGTTATGCTTCAAGAAATAAACCCAACCTTTCCTCGTGTAATCGCCAATGAAAGTGACATAGTATCGGGATCCTCCCACTAAACAAGTTGAATTGGGACCATAAACATCCGAATAAAGTAACTCTAACTTCACAGACTTAGGCGGATGACCAATCTCTTTGAAAGTAACTTTTTTCTGTTTACTAACAACATATGGCTCACTTAAATCAACTGTCACTGTCTTCAGATATGGTATTATTCCTCTGGATACTAACATCTTTATTCCCTTCTCACTCATATACCTAAGTCTTTGGTTCCATAGAGTCGATGACCCAACTTCTTCAACTACACATGCTTCAGTATCAGAAACCTTCATCATATAGAGTATACCTTGCTTTTGACCTTTAACAATTACTAAGTTTCCCTTTGTAAGTTTCCACTAATGATCACCAAATGTAACTTGGTGACCTTCATCATCAAACTACCCACTAATATTAGCATCCTCTTCAATTCTGGCGTAAACTTGAGATTCTTCAAAGTCCAATTCATACTCAAAGTCGTCTTGAGGAGCACATCCTCGACAATAGTAATATCTAGGCTCTTGTTGTCTTCTAATCT